GGACGGTGAGAGGGGAAGACAGCATCTTGAAGGAGGGGATGAGTAAGATAATGCAATAGAATGCAGTTGGCTGGACATGGTAGCACACACATTTGATCCCAGCACTTAGGAGGTGGAGGTAGGTGGATCTCTGTGAGTTGGAGGCCAGCCCGGTCTGCTTGTCAAGTTCCATGCAGTCAAGGCTACCCTGTCTCAGAATAAAAAGCAATGGGCATGAAAGGAGGATTATCTATGGGTGTGTGGGGGTGGTGGTTCGAGAATGACAGTGGAGGAAAGGGATGAAATGAGCAAAATGTATATGTTTGAAATTGCCACAGTGGAACTTCTTCCATTGAACAGCAACTTTAAAAACAATTCACGGTTATTTTTATTTATTTGGACATCTTCTTGTTCACTGGGCTTGTTCTCTATTTTTTCCTGTTAAAAATAACATGAATACTTTAGCATTTAAGATGTTGTCTCTTCTATTAGTATTTAAAAGGTCAAGATATTTTGCAGTGAACTGTGAACCTCCTGACATACAGTCTCATAGTCTTAACATCAGCACCCAGTATCTACCCTTTGTTAACAAACAAGTTTCCATGACCCCAAAAGTTCTCTTGAGTCCCTTCTGTTCTTGGTAAACCTCCACAACTTGACCCTTATTGTTTTGGATCCAGCTGCCTCAGGTTGGATTCAATGAATCTCTGGATTCATCTGTGGTGTTTGCCAATTTGCTCCTTGTTGCTGAGTCACATTCCATTTTAGGAACAGACTATTGTTGTGTCTCCATTGACCTACTGGTGGCTGCTTGGACTGTTTCCACATTGGAGCTATTATGAACAAGGCTGCTATTAATACAGTTTTTGAGTATTTTTGTAGAAATACATGTTCATTTCTCTTGGGTAAGTATCTGAAGGTAGACTTTCTTAGTCATAAACATCTTTCTGAGAAATCACTTGGTCTTTTTTGTTTCTTAAGTGATTACACCAATTTACATCCCTGCTAGCAATGTATAAACTCGGGCATCTCAGCATCCTCCATAATATTTGGAATTATTTTTTTAATTTGGACATGTGGACCATTGTAGAATAGGTCATTATTTTAATTTTTACATTCTTGGTGACTACTGACATTCGTCACCTCTCATGTGACTATGTGCCTTTTGCTTATCTTCATTTATTAAGTGTCTGTTCAAGTATTTTGACTATATTGAAAAAAGTTGATTTGTGGGAATTATTTACGTATAGAAAGTTCTTTGATTTACATATTGTGAAAAATCTCCCAGTCCATGGCCTGGCTCGTCTCCATGCTGTCATGTCATATCTTTTGTTGAGTAGAAGCTGTGTTTCTGATGCTAATTAAACATTTACTTTTGCAGCTAGCACTTTCCATGTCCTTGCATGGCAGCTTTCCCCATTTTTCCCTAGAAGATTGAAATTGAAATACCTTTTTAAAAAGCATGAGTCACTTTAAGTGTTGTGTGTGAATAAAAGGTTAAAGCTCCCCCCACCAAGTCTGGGCTTTAAGCTGTCACAGGACTATCTGTTGAGAAGATTTCTTTACCAAAATTACATTACCACAATTACTTTACCATATGGCTCTGGGTCTATTTCTTGACTCTGTTCTGTTTCAATGAGCTGTTTCTCTGTTTATTGTCACACTGTATGGTCTCCTTGCAGGGTAAATGCTTTTACTGTGTTCTCTGGGAGTCTGCAGGTCTTGTATTTAGTGTGGAGGACGAGCACATCTTTCATTAAGTTTCCATACATCTTATCTTGTGGTGTGGTTTTCAGTAATATTTTATTAAAGGAATTAAATGTGCACGTTTCTAGTTCTGCTAGATTGCATTTCCCAAAGGGGCTGCAGCAATGTTTCCAGCTCCCATGCTCTTCCAGGATCTTGTTGTCCTGTCTTCTTGCTTGTGCTGACTGGGTTTTTGTGACTTTCTGGACATTCAGGACGTGGTAGAAGTGGCACAGCATGCATTCCCAGGCCAGGTCAGGACAGGTGACCCTGTGTCTTGAAATATGTACTCCTACAATCCAGTCACCTGGTTTCAACAAGCCCAGGTGGAGAGGCCCCAGCAGCAGGCCAGGAGCAAGTGACAGAAATGAGCGTGAATGAATGAATGAATGAATGAATGAAATAATTGAGGGAAGGGGCTCCTTGACTACTGCCCTGTTTTCAACGGGAAGATAGAGAGCCACTGCCTACTACATATTTACTCTGCACAGTTTGGGGACTCTGTTGCCTCTCAAAAAGAAAAGAAACCTTTAAAATTGAGAATCCAGACAGGAGTTAGGCCATCAAAACACATATGTGGAATCTTTAGTGAGAATTAGAAGAGTGAAATTTACATGTCCATTTGTCCAGTACTGTCAGAGCTGACTTAATCAGTCTGTCAATGACATCGAGAATAGAAAGGGGATAAAATCAAGGAAGGAATTAGTCTGTGGACAGCAGGAAAGGGAAAGGATCAGATGGGCTCCAGGCCTGTGTTGGGGTATTTTGAGATTTGTTTGTCTCTTTCAATGTGCTGTATAATGCCCTTTTCTTTTTTTTTTAAATGTTACACAACACACAAATATATTGAAAAGAAATGGTTCTAGGGTTGGTGGCTTAGTCAAGTTCAGTGATGCTGGCTCTTCCAAGGCGTTATCGCCCCTGCCACCCCCCCCCAAACTCAGGCTGCTCTGTTCTTGGAAAAACCTGAAACCATGGCCAATGAATTGAAGTAATTACCTTGAAAATTCTGTTTCCATAAAAGCAGAGACAAAATGCATCTCCTGGACTCGCCTATCACTCTGGATTTTGTGTCTGCCCTTCCTCCTCTTGCTGGTGAGTTTTCCATGCTTCTAGCCCAGACTGCCTCTGGCAAGGGCAAAAGGGTTTCTGCTCAAAGTCAACACAGGTTCTGTATGGTTCATATTGCCATAGGATCCTGTGCTTACAAAACACTGCTCATTGCTCGGTTTTGTCTTGTGTGCCTATGATTCCTTTTAGCACCTCCATGATGGGACTGAGGTCTGGATTCTGTGCCTAGCACCGTCTAATCGTTTCAACTTTGTAAAAGTGAGGGGAATTAACCACGGAGATAAGTGCAAGTCTCCTCTATTGCCCTTGATAATCTATCCGAGGGGTGGCAAGTGAGCTACCATGCTGCCCCTGCAAACCGGCTTGATGGCTCACACCTGTAATTCCCATACTGGGGAGCTGAGGCAGGAGGATCGTCATCAGTTCCAAACTATCTTGGGCTACACAACGAGCCCCAGGCCAGCCAGGGCTCCAGCACAGTAAGACTCCCCCTTTTATGCCACCAATCACACTTCTCCAGAGCTTTTGGCCTCCAAGGAGGCAGGAGCAGTAAGCTCATTTTATGCTGTGATTCTGTGAAATCAAAGGACAATACAAATAACCATTTTCTATTTCTTTGTTGTCCTCATCTAGTTATGGCTATTTTTTCCTGTCTGGAGCATAATAAATAGGTTTTCCTTTAAGCCCTTTTCAATATTTTGTTTATTCCTCAAGGCATTATCACAGAAAGTGGATGGAACCATTAGTGGCCCATTTTTACAGCGTCAGTGCAAAGATCAGCTTGCACTTTGAAAGCACCCTCCAAAGCCTGGGAGACTCGCTGAGAAGTTCTGCCACCCTGAAGCTCAGCTCAACACTTGAGATATTTCCCTCTTGGATCTTCCGGCTAAAGATGCATTTCATCTAGAAACAGTGTTCACTCTGAGGGCCAGAGGTGTGCTTTATTGTAGGAGGCATGGAGGTCTTTGTGTTCACACATAAGCACTTGGGGAACCTGGAATGTTAAGTACACAGGGCTGTTTCTTCAAAGGATGGAATGTAACACCAGTCATTGCTCAGAAGGCTGGATTCAGAAGAGACCTTTTGTCCTATCTCTGTGGCCAGATTCTTTTCCAGGACCAGACGCTTCCCAGGGGGACCGTTATCATAAACTTGTTTTTCTCAGTCAATCTATAGAACCCATCTTCATGGACTTTACAGAAAGTTTCCATGTAGTCACGTGTGATCTGTGTTTAGCTGACTTTGTATCTTAAGGAGATTTATGTATGCTTTGTTGTACATGCGGGACTGAATTAACATCAGAATAGATTTCACCAAATTGTGCTTTGCTAAATATGCCTAAAATAAGCCACTCTCCGGCGGTCAGACTGGGAAGTTCGAACCCACACCGGCTACTGAGTCTTGCTTTCCTACCTCCTACAGCTCATTTCCCTGCAGCCCCCTAAGGGCTCAGGGGCTCCCCATTTTATGTAAAACGAAAGGTAACAATCACTTCTGCAAGTGCAGGAGCACAATCAGGTTTATTTTTTTGCTTTAAGGTCAAGATTTCATCAGACATGGTAAAGATTTAGTGGTTTCTTCCTCACTACCCCCATGGAGCTGTGCTCAGAAGGACTTAGTTTAAACATTAAGTGAAGGGAGAAATCAAACAAAAGCAGGTCGAGTGACCTTGGACCAGTCACCCCTTACCTCTCAGTGGATTTGTTTGCATGTAGAAGGTGCACTACGTGTGTCGTGGGCGTAGGTGTGTGTAGCGGGTGCCCCTTAGAGCGTTCTGGAGGTTTCAGGACTGTGACAAGCCATTGGGGACAGGGGCTGCAGACCCAGCACTTCTCTGAGTTTCAGGTCCTAGCTTGGAAATTCCTGTTTTGAGCAAAGGACCCATGCAGACCCCTTCTGGCTGGATGCAAAAGAAAAGAAGCTGCTAACAAAAAGGGAAGGAGTCGGAGGACCCAAGGCTGCACAGCAAAAGCCACAGGCAGGGAGATAAGGTAGCCAACTTGCTGGGGCCCAGAACCGCCCAGGTGCGTCCAACCCTCCCGGAACCCGCACCCAGCCCCGCAGCCTTGTCCGCGCCTCCCGCGCCACCTGCCAGGACTCCGACCGGCGGCGCAGCCTCCTGCAGGCCCCCGCCCCCGCGTTGCCTGGCCCGCGAGGCTCCGCGGCGTTCGGGGCGCTGCCGCATTGGCCGCTGCGGTGCGGGAGGCGCGGTCGGCGCAGCCTCGGGGCTGCGGGCACAGACTGGGGCGACCTGCGGCGATCGCTCTGCCCTAGGCCCGCTCGCCCATGGCTCTGGCGCTGTGGCCCTGGCTCCCAGCCCCGCTCGCAGTCGCCACCACCTGCCTTTGGCCGACCAGCCCGCCAGCCGCGCGCGATGCTGAATGGCACGGGCCTGGACCAGGCTTTTAAGATGTCGTTGCCGCGGAGGGCGAGGATCGGCGCGTCTGTGGGTGAGCGGGGAGGGTGGGCCGCTTGGGCGAGGGTGGCGCCCGCGGATGGAAGCACTGCTCCGCCCTTCACCCAGTCCCCTCCCCCGGGCTCCCGGGGCTGTGGGACTCTGGGACGCCACGCCCTATTGCCCCCTGGCTGGACGTCCTTGCACCCACCCCACCATAGGCCTCCTGTGGGAGAGAGGGAGCAGCAACTGTGAGAATTCTCAGGCTCCTGACACAGTTGTTATGCATGTGTGCATGTGTCCGTGTGCGAGTGTCCGTCCGTCCGTCCGTCCGTCCGTCCGTGTGTGTGTGTGTGTGTGTGTGTGTGTGTGTGTGTGTGTGTGTGTGTGTGCACGAGCGCGCATGCAGGTCTGTGCGCCCTTACGCGGTGATGCGGCTGCTGGAAAGGACCGGAGGAGCAGTTTTGTTTTCTGTCCAGTCCCCAGTCCTGGTGGGCAAAGTTTGGACACTGGAGGACTTCTTGTCTCGGGGAAGCAGAAGGTCACCAAGAGTGTTTTCACAATGTGAGGCCCAAGTGTTGGGGCTTACACTAAGGACAGAGGGGCTCCGACTTCTATTGCATGGGGAAGTTGCAGAGACACAGATGCATTCATGAAGATAAGCTGGCAGGGGCCTGGATGGGATTGGAAACACAGCTTCTTCAAACAGTCATTTTAGATTCTTTTGTTGAATAATGCACTTAGGGACCATGACCAGGCACACTCGTTGACAGTTAGATAAATAATGCAAAACTGGAGGGGGAATCTCCAGTGATTCCCTGTCTTGGTTTCCAGGCCTCCTTGAAAGGAGTCTGGGTAGATCTTTGATGAAGGGGGTTCAAGGTTTGGGTCTGGAGTTGAGGCTCCTTGTTAACAGTTTGTAGTTTTGTCTGTTTTGAGATGATGGGTATATTAAAATAAACGACCTTTACATTTCACCATGAGTGATATGAGGGCAAAGAAAAATAATTTTAACTAGTGTTTGTAAAGTTGAGTAGTATCAGGACACTGTCACATTCATTTTGAGCAGAATTCTTTTCTGAAGGAGTCACCAGGCAACACATCAAGACTACAAGGGTGGGGGGAGCCCCCAGGGCATCGGGGAGTAGTCCGAGGGACGGCCTAGGTGTCAGCAGAGGGAAGGAAGTGTGTGATTTTCCATAGTGCCATGGATTTAAAGCTTTGCATCCATGAAGGGAGAACCAATCCTGCATGGGGAGGGTACAGAATTCATCTTGTTTTTCATTGGGTTCCCCCAAATTATATAGCTAATACCAGAGGAATCTGAAGGTGTCCTGAGCATTCCCGTATTTTCATATTGGAGGATAATAGGGGCAATGGGAAGGGATTGGAACAGGATACTTGGAAGGCCAGCGAGTCAGGAATGCCGCCAAGAGTTCCAGAAAGAATCTGGGCATTGATGCTTGGTTTTATCCATGGAGGTCACCGATGACCTTGGATGAGCTGCTATTGTATAACTGGGGAGAAATATCTATTAGAGGGGGTGCAAGAAAGATTAGAAGACAGACAGGAGTTGAAAACAGATTGTCTATGACACACATTAGGGTTAATTTTGCAGAAAACGGAGGGAAGAGCAAATGGGGTGATAGCTGTAGAAAGTAAATTCAAGGGAAGATGCTTCGAAGACGGACTGTTTTGTCCAACTAGTGAGACAGTGTCAACACTCAGTCAGGGGGTTCTCAGTGGTCTGTGGTGTGAGCCCCAGTGAGGAGCGGGGTCCGGAGCACAGCAGTTTAGAGAAAAAGGCTTGGGGGCTTCTGGAGGTGGAGGGCGCCAGGACCTTGTTGAGGACAGGTGTGGGGTGTGAAGGATAAAATGTATGCCTTTACAAGGTGGGTCTATTTAGAGCACGTAAACTAAGGCCAGGCAAGAGGGAGGTTGGGGTGGACCTGGGCAAAGGACCTGACAATCACCTACCCCATAGAATGTTAGTGGTGTGTGATTTTTTTTTGAAGAAGCCTGCTGCTTCTCATTTGGTGCACAAGCAAAGCAGCTCCTTCAAGATCAGATGCCAAAGGTCAGCTGTCCAGTAAAGCAGTTCCGGGATGCTCATCTCCGGGGACTTACCTTGGACTCCCACCTTACTCTGGGTGCCCTGTTGTATCTCTGTCCGTTCCTTTCTGCAGTCATCTGCTATTTACAAAATGATGGGCATCCAAAGACCAGCCGACCGTGACAGACTGTAACACGAGTTCCTGGATGTGTGTTGGCCGCCTTTCATGTGCCAGACACACCGGGGCTCCCTGGTTAGAGCCCGAGGGCTACGAATGAGTACGAAGCACACTGTCAGCACTCTCAACTCGTACCCAGCCTCACGCACAGGCAGTGCACACAGTTGGACGGGGAAGTGAAGCGGGTGTGTGTGTACAGGAGTGCAGACAGTGGTAGGGGTGAGGACAGAAAGGAGCTGTTTTCTGGGGACTACAGCATTCACTTTAGCTAGGGTAGAGACCTCTCTCCTCTCATTGAGTTTCTGAATCTGGATTCGTGAAAGACTGGCAATAAAGAGCCGGCAGGCAGTAAGCACAGTGCCCGTGTGTGGTGCTATCTTATTTGTACAAATGAAGCATGTCCAGACCTCTATGGTCAGCTATTGGCAAGATCCGCCCTCTGATCTTTAGACACACTTTATTTGTATAAGCAAGTATCACCACACCTGCGCTTTTAATTAAATTAAATACAGGATCTGGATGGCTACAAGTCCTGCTGAAAATGCCTTTGCTGGTCTGTTCCAAAGTCTTTACCCAACTCTTTCATCTCTCCTGGCCTCTTCTGGTTAGTAAGGTGTTTTTTGTTTGTTTTTGATTTTTGTTTTTGTTTAAATGGGCTCCTGGCTGGACCTAGTTTTCTAGGACAACTGAAGATGCCAGAAGCTCTGATATTAGGATGTAAGAGCTGGAAGATGGCACTGGTTTAATACCCTCAGTTTACAGCAAACTATTTCAGAGCAGCCAGTTAATTTCTAGCAGAACCAGCTAATTTCCTAGGCCTGCAGAGCCAGTGCAGTTCAGGATCAGGTCCAGTTCGAACAGGGCATGTTCATTTGCTCATTCTAGAGGTTTCCCCTTTTCCCAGTAAGAAATAGGACAGACATGGGTCTCATCTCCCTTGCTTCTGTTCTCTGCACTATCCAGTGGGCATTCTACACACAGACTCTACTACCTCTGCTGGATAACTTTGTACTTGACCTGAAGTTCTAGATTATGTTTGGAAGTTCTTGGAGACAGTGTATCTTGGGGGTAAAACACCAGACTGTAGGATTAGAGAGAAATGGATTCAAACTTTGATATTGTCTTCTGCTTCCTATGGGTCATTTCTTTGTTTACATTATAGAATCAGGAGCTCAAGTAAGAGTTCCCTCTGAGAGCTGTGTCAGTGGTGTGTGTGTATGTATATGTGTGTATGTGTGTGTGTGTAGACTCACATAGCACAGTAGTACATGTACTAATTACTGGATGTGCAATCAAGTTAGACAGTGTGACTAGTTCTTGGGTTGCCCATCATAACCTGCTGCAGACTCCTCTACCTAGATCCACATTCCATGTGATAGCAGACGAGGGGACATCTTCAGCTGTTGTGACTTCCCCCTCTAAATCTAATCACTGCCTACCCAGGATGTGGCTGCATAGAGGCATTTTTAGGTTTGCATGATGCAGAAATTAATACTCACCAGCTACCCAGATCCTACACTGTCCATTCTCTAGTGTCTGAGACTTGTCACTCTTCCTACACTGTCTTGTTTTATGCCTGCAGGTGGCCACTATGCCCTTAATTTGATGGCTTTAGTTGTTTAATAATTAATTCAGTTTTACAGTGCCTGCTTTATCTTAAATCCTCATCGGATGGAGGTGCCAACTAGACAAATGGATTGCATTAAAGTTATTCTCTTAGAACCTTTAGATGGCTTATGAGAGGATGTTCAGACAGTGGCTTTGAAGAGGGGTCTCTCCTCTTACCCCTGTGGCTTTTCACATTTGCTAAATATAACCCCCAGTCAATAGCACACCAAGACAAGATGTTATTTACATCCTTTTAGGCCAGTGAAAGTGCTCAGGGAAAATGTTAACAACCACTAAGAAAGACTAAAAATAAAAGTGAGCTCACATTCATGGCCCTGGCAGTTTCTCCATATCATTGTCAAGGGCAGACACAATGCATAACCTGCCTTGTGGCGTTGAGCAGCACTGTGATGGGGACAGTTATGTCTATGTGCCTCCCAGGTTGGGGACATAGATGTGTCTCTGAGAGTGCAGTCAGGTCTGGCTCACACTCTTGTCTCAGCTGCTAGGAAGGATGAGGCACATAGATCGCCTGAGTCTGATTTGGGACAACGTGGGCAATTAAGTGAGAACTTGTGTCAACAACCAAAATAAAATAAAATAAACATACACATGTGATACTTTCCATTCAAAACAGTGTGGCGGAGGGCTCATTATGCCAGCCCATGGCCTCCCTTGTGTGTCCTGTGTCTGTGCCTGGGCTCCTTGCAAGGAAGGATTATCTCTCACCTGCTAGTAAAAAAAGATGGATATGCCATAGTTTATCCTAAAAAAAATATGACCTCATCTTCACTCATTTTGGTTCAGAGAGATTTTTTTTTTGCATTTGGAAAATAGTTCCCTGGATTTGAGTTATTGTGTGTTGGGTAATAAGCACACATTCTGGACATTTCCAAGGAGTGTCTGAGCACAAGCTTCCCCTTCATCTCCAGAGACACCTCGTCAGCCAGAAGCAGAGGGTTCCTGGGGTTACTGTAAAGGTTTCAAGCACATCGCTGAGACTGGGGCAGCAAATGACTGCTTGCAGCGAGCACTTTTGCCATGCAGAATCTCACTGCAGATGCCATGTTCAAAGACAGTTGTTGGTTTCAGGTCTTGGCACCTTAATGGCAAGGGGCTGTTCTTCATTCATATCCAAAGGGCACACTGTGGCTGGTCTGCTGTTATCCAGTTAGTGAGGGATTAGGCCTCCTGTCGGCTATTTTTAGGTTAGCTA